GAGTGTGTGAATGAGCCCCAATTTCCACCTTTCTTTTGAGGGGACCCAACTATTCCTCCATTTCCTCCTAATCCTAACTAGATTGAGGAATTGAAGCTCACCCTCTTTGAGGACCAACACTTCGCCCCCTATCAGGCCCTATAATACTCTCAGTTTTATTGGATGATAACCACTCCCATTTTCGACATAACCAATAAACTTGCATTCCCAAGTTTTGCTTCCCAAGTTATCCCTTAAAGGTTTAGGAATAAGTACATGTGCTTTACATCCCCAAACTTTGAGATTTTGAACATTAGGTTTAGTTCCATGAGAGCATTCGTAAGGAGTTAGAGGTTTGGCTTTTGTTTCGACTCTATTTAAGATGTACGCAGCGGTGGACAACGCTTCCCCCCAAAAATGAATAGGAAGATCAGCATGAGTCATCATAGACCTTGTCATTTCCATTAGAGTACGATTTTGTCTTTCGGCAATCCCATTTTGTTGTGGGGTGTATGGCATTGTAAACAAATGTTTTATACCATTGTCCTTGCAGAAAGAATCCATAGCTTCATATTCACCACCTCTATCGTTATTCAAGTTTTTAATGGACCGACCAAGTTGTAAAATTTTCAATTGCTTCTGATTTGTGTTTAAGAAGGTAGATATGTCCATATCTTGAATAATCATCAGTGAAAGTAATAAAGTATTCCATGCCTCGATGAGTTTTAGTTCTTAAAGGGCCACAAATATCTGAATGAATTATTTCAAGTAATTCCGATGATTTCCAATGGTTAAAAAATGGCTTGCTAGTCATTTTGCCTTGGACACATGGTTCACATATATCAAAATCATCGGAACATACTTTAGGCAATAAGCCACTTTTAAACACTCGAGACATTTTATTTTTATTAATGTGACCCAACCTTAAATGCCATAAATAAGAACTAGTACTAGTAGAAACATGCAAATAATCAGAAATACATACTTTATTATCAATAGGAAGAGAGTACATGTCATTCACTCTTACACCTTTCACTAATACACTTCATTTCTTAATCAATACTGTGTTAAACTTAAAATTAATCTGAAAACCTTTTTGAGTTAACACCGGAACTGAAATTAAATTTCGCCGAATGTTGGGTACATAAAGCACATCATGAAGCACAATAGAAGTTCCATCAATAGAGAATTGACAATTACCGATGCCCAAAACATCACTATAGGAATTGTTGCCCATGTAGATTCTATGTTCACCAACCTTCTTTTCAGTAAAATCCACGAACATGTCTTTATTTTGCACAATATGTCTAGTTGCAGCAGAATCAATCCACCATGAATTTGATGAAGGCTCAAGTACCAATGCTTCAGAAATCGTCATGGCAACAGGGTTGTTATCCTTTTTCTGCTTCTTCTGAGGGCAATTGGCTTTGATATAACCTTTTTGACCGCACTTGTAACATGGACCTATTTGACGCTGGTGATGTTGTTGCTTTTGCCATTCTTGTGGTTTCTTCCATCATTTCTAAAATCCCTTCTTCCATTTTTTCTTGAAAAAAGTAGTCTTTTTCTTGTTAAATGGTGTGTGGATATTATTCTGTGCTTGTGGTGAAGATTGTGCCATCAATAAGTTAGAAGATAATCCTTCTTTACGCCTGCGCTTCATTCTTTCTTCTTCCAAAACTAAGAGAACAGGCAATGTTACCATTGAAATCTCTCGTCCGCTATGAGTTAGAGATGTGATAACATGATCCCAAGACAATGGAAGACTATTAAGTATGGTAATTACTTGCATCTTGTCCAACAAAGAATGATCAGTGTTGGATAATTCTTTAGCAATTAATTCCATTTGATTAACATGATCACCAACACTATCATTATCACTCATACGAGTGTTATTATATTTGTCCAAGAGCAATTGAATTTGAGTATCCGATCGAACTCCATACTTACTTTCTAGTGCTTCCATTAGTTGTCTTGTAGTTTCATGTTCTTCAAAGAGCGGAATAATGTTATCTTTCATATTATGTAACATAGTTGCCTTGGCTATTGCATCATCTTCTATCCATTTATTTTGGAACCAATTTGAATCATCATCTGGTTTAGAAGTGGATAAAGTATGCAATGTCTTGTCATGTGTAAGAAGATAAGAAATGTGGCGTTTCCATGCTCGGAAATTATTTCTATTAAGCATCTCGATTCTCGAAGAATCCATTATATTTTTAATAGCCATATTAAAAACAAAATGTGTTACTATGAAAATTCAAATGTGAATATTACAATAAAAATAAAAATAAGCAAGATTAAAAACAACAACAGGTCTTAATAAGTATAAGTCTTGTAGTTGTTGAATTGGCCCCGATGATGAAAATGATGTGAAAGAATGGAACGGTACTGTTGCCTTGTAGTTATGGACCCAATACTTTGCTTATGAGTATTGTAATAATAGTTACGAGCCCAAGGAACACAATGGTGCCTATGAAACAATGGTTCTTTGGATGTTATCCTTGGTAACACCCTTGGATAGCCTCCTCCTTGAATTTTGTTTGCAAAAAATTTAGAACAAGTACCCACAGAAAAATTCTTAACAAAATTCTAAAAATTTTGGCTTTTGAATGACTTAAAACGGCCTTGAAATGAGCGAGAACGAGCCGAAAAAACCCCTTGAACCAATCTGCCGGTTCAATGGTGTGGCTGAAACCGGCTTGAACAGCTGATCAATGCGCCGGTCAACGCGTGGAGCAGGACGCGGGTCGGGCGAGGTAGACGGACGCGGGTCCGGGCGCGGTACGCGGGGCACTGGGCTGCAGCGTTGGGCTGCTTGGCTGGGCTGCGCATTGGGCTGGCTCTACGCACTGGGCTGGCTGGGTCTCGGACCTAGGCTGGTCTATGCGCTGGGCTGGCTGCGATTCTGGGCTGCTGGGCTGAAGAAAATTCTTCTTAAGTTTTAGGCCCAATAGTACAGACTTCCTGGCTATTATCTTTATTTTGTGGGCCCCTTCTTGTTGGTTTTATTTTTGGCCCAATATTTTGAATTTCCAGAATAGGATTTGCAACGGAATTAATGCACAGGTTGTCTTCTCCGGTAATGGGAGTCGGTGACCACACATTGAAACTCGAATTTTGGGGATCAAATTTTTGCCGTTTTCACAACAAATTACACCGTTGTGATCAAAATTCTGTGAAGAACAAGATGGAGCAAATTTGGAGACCCAATTTGAACCAAAAAATATTTTATAAAATTTCTTCCAACGGTTCAACTCGGCTTCACTTTCGGCAAGGTTCGGAACAACAGCGCCACCAGCAGTTATTTTCTTCGGATAGCATTCTGGGAATACGACACGTTGGTGATAATTATATAAACAAACGGAATTTACCAATGCCGAAGATTGTTGATCAATAATTTCCTGAATTTTCGGCAAAAAGAGTTCGGAAACTTGTCTTTCTTCCAGACTAAAATTCGACATCTGCGATAATGTATATCCAGGCTCTGATACCACTAAAAGATAATCTAATCAATGGCAATAGATCGTAATACCCGTGAGGGTGTTTATCACGCGAGAATGTCTATAAACCGAAAGTTAGAAATTGGTAAACTTTTTGGTTCCTTTTATATAATATTCCAAACCTTCTGTCACTTATTTATATACAAATAAGTGACTCTTGGTAATAGGTATAATATATACAATAGCAGTCACCATGGTTCACAAAGTTGTGTCAATTGATGTTTGAATTCAAATTAACTAACTAACTGACAGATATAACATTCTTGCAGGAAGGTTCTATAGAATGATAAGAGAGAAGAGATAGAGTGAAGTGAGTCACACCAAATTATGGTGTGGTCACTCTTTATTCCATCATAAATTTAACTTTTTTTTTTTTTTTCATAAATCATTTATACTTTTCAAAAAGAAAAAAGAAAAAAACAAAAAACAAAAACAAAACTGGGCTAAACTTCTTACAAATATATTAGATCTTTAACAAGTTTTCATCGTAACAATCCATTATAACGTGCCGGTGCATGTTTTTGTTCACCTAACATTCCTAACACAAAACATGCACTTTTAATCGGAAATAAATACTTTTCAAAAAGAAAAAAGAAAAAAACAAAAAACAAAAACAAAACTGGGCTAAACTTCTTACAAATATATTAGATCTTTAACAAGTTTTCATCATAACAATCCATTATAACGTGCCGGTGCATGTTTTTGTTCACCTAACATTCCTAACACAAAACATGCACTTAATCCAGGAAATAAAGTCAACTATCGACCGATTTTTAAAGAATTCATTAATGAATATATTAATAAATTAGCGCGCAGCTTTCTCTTATTTAATTCGATAATGCTACGTAACTCAAATTTTGTGACTCAAAAGTGGCTCAAATGGCCAAAACAAAATTTGAGTTACGAGACATTTTCCTATTCAATTTTGATTGTAAATATAAAATAAAATAAATGATTGCACCATTCTCCACACATACATCTAAGTGATGTCGACACCAAAATGTTATATATTGATAAAATATTATAAGCTTTAAATTTTTTAGAGCAATGGTAGAGGGCCACAAAAAGTGTGGCTCAAATGGCTCAAAACTGTCAAAACGATGTCATTTTGAGCGTAAAACGACGCAAAACGACGTCGTTTTGACAGTTTTGAGCCATTTGAGTTACACTTTTTGTGGCCCTCAAACATTTTTCAAATTTTTTATCAAAGAAGTGATTAAATATCTTACGGGTCCGTAATTTTCATATCTCTAACATCATCTTATATACAGTTGTAATTTTGACTTGACATATTCGATAAACTCTTGAGATTCAATCATCAAAATAAATGATATCAAAAAGCAAAAATAAATGATATCAAAGTCCATCTTATTTCATTATCAGTCACTCACAAACTAGCACATCTAAAGTTTTTTTTTTTTTTTTTTTTTTAATTTTTTTTTGGTCCTTTTTGTTATTTTTTTATTTAATAAATAACTAAATAAATTCTCAAAAGGATAGATTGTGTCTTATTTTACTATCAAGTTTTGCAAATTATAAAGTTACAAAAATAATGAACATATATCAGAGAGAGATATCATCATGTTTATTGCTTTTATTATTTTAATTTACATTTACATGATCATTATCATCATTATTATCAAGTAGTAGAAATCAACAGCAATAAAACCAGAGATGATATTGTGTGCTTTAATTTTGATTGTGTTGAAACTTTGTAAAGGTGTCTAAGTGGGTGTTTGGGTAGCTAGTAAGTCCATTCTTTTGGAAGAAATATCTCTGGCGAGTTACTGCGGCTTCGTGAGATGACACAATATTGAGGTTGAGATTGTTGAGCTGTTGCATCATCCTTATTTCCCTTTTTATTCCTTGTTATGGCATTACGATCTGCACTTCTTTTTGAGTCCTTATTTGTATCTACAGATTAAAAAATAAATAAATAAACTATTCATTTCACTGAAAATCCTAGAGCATCTCTCTCTCTCTCTCTCTCAATAAATTTGAGTAAAAATTTGATTATAAAAGCTTGATCTAATATGGAACACCCCAATCCATAGTCTCTCTCCCTTTTTTTTTGGTCAGATCTTTTTTCAGTAAAAATCCTACAGCATCTCTCATTCTTAGGCCTCGTTTGGGAACATGTTAATTTAGTAACTTTTTGGTTATTTGGCTAAAATATGAGCTAAAAAAAACTAGTATATTTGGGATGATTTTTTGGTTTTTTACGAAAAGATGTGCAAAAAGTAGAGAGAAAGGAGAATCTTTGATTTTTGGTATGGGTTGTTGGCTTTTTGACTTTTTTAATAACTTTTTGACTTTTTGGCTAAACCGGCCGCTTCCCAAACGAGGCCTGATTCTCTTTTTTTAAATATATTTAAGTAAAAATTTAATTAAAAGCTTAATATGGTATGGAACACTCCAATTCTTACTCTCTCTTTCTTCATCAACTTTTTTTGGAAATTTTCAAATATATCTTAAAAACATGTTTTAACTGTTTTTGATAAAAGAAAATCAACTTCAATCTTTATATATTTTTAAAATTTTATCAATTTTGATTAGACGTGTGATTGCTAAATATTTGGTGAAGAATTTGACTCATCTTTAAGTTGGTGAAAAATCTTCGAGCAAAGTCCCATCTTTATCCTTTTTTTTAGTTTAAGCTGATATGAAACACTCAAATCATTACTCTCTTTTTTCATCAATTTTTTTTGAAAAATTTTCAAAATAATTTAATAAACATGTTTTAACAATTTTTATGAAATAAAGTCATTTTTCAATCTTTATTCTTTTAAAATTTTATTAAATTTAAGTAAATTGGATTGTTAACAATTTGGTGAAAAAATTGATGAATGATTAGAAATGAAAGAGATTTTTTTTTTTTTTTTTTAGATAGTGAAATGAAAGAGATTATAGGATTAAAAAAACAACCTTGTGGTGGCTTGATTTGCAATCCAAGTTCATGCACGTTGAGATTAAGGGCTTGTACCACACGTGAGGGGAGGAGAACAGGAGAGCAACCTGAAAATTGGATGAATTGAAAAACATTATTTAAAAAAATGGTTATTGATATGAAGCTAAATACAACAAAATAAATATATATAAAAAAAAAATACTACACTTTTGGACAATATATTATTTTAGCACAATATATACTTTAATGCATTGTTATAGCAACGTATAGTGGTAGAGGGCCACAAAAAGTGTTTGAAAATTTTGAGTAAACATTAGAGTATTCCTTGATTTGGAATAAAAATTAGTAAAACTCAATTTAGTATAAATTTGGATGAAGGAGTGGAGAGCGTTTGAAGTAATTTTTACCCAAATTTAAATTTGATATAGGTTTGAGTCACTGATTGGAGATGCCTTCTAGTTAGTAAAGATGGGTATATTTTTATCATTTGGAGTAATTGTGAGTATTTGCAAATGCAACATAATTTCTGTATGAAATTTGGCAAGATTACCTTGCTAATCGAATGATGATATATGTTTGTGTTTTCTGGACAATTAATAATAATTAGGTGATTTGCACCATTTAAATTTAGGTTTCATTGAAGGCTTTATTTTCAAATATTGAATTTGAGGAGCTTCGTTAATATCTTTGATCTTTGCATGCAACAACTTTTGAAGTAAGGAGAGAGAGATTGTTATCAAGCTAACAAAAGTATTTTCATCTTACTTTATTAAAATGTAAAATGTCAAGTGACATGCACCTTTACGCAACAAAGTAAAGCAATAATTTATTACCAAATTTGACGTAGTATTACATCTGATTATGGTGGTTTTACTAGAATACACCTATGCTGTACTTGTATACTCTGATTTATATTGAAATATGAGTTTATATTCTTGCAAATCGAGCAATTCGGATTTTGGGTCCAATTGTTTGGGGATGTTTGAGAATTTAGGTGGGTTTAGTGAGAATTGGGGAGGTGGGTCGATGTTGGTTTCGCAATCTTTGGTGTTGGATAGTGAACGGTGTGAGCTTGTGAAGACTCCACCAGTGAGAGTTGGGAAGAAAAGTGGGGCTTCAGAGGAGAAAGTTATGGCTGCTTTGAAGAGTCATAGTGAGGCAGAGAGGAGGAGGAGAGAGAGGATTAATGCTCATCTCGCCACGCTTCGCGGCCTCGTGCCTTGCACTGAAAAGGTAAATTTATGATCAATAGTAGTTTTTGCTGATTTGTTATTGTTAGTATAGTCTTATTATGTTATAATTTTGTATAGTTTGTTGATTTTAATCTTCATATTACATATTCATTTGCTACAACGAAATTTCATGATATAGCAACAACATTTCAGGTAACATAAACATTGACGATAATGACTTTGACACAGAGAGAGAGAGAGAGAGAGAGAATTATAAAACGAGAAACGTAGTTGGAATGTCATGCGTTTTTGGTAGTGATAATGTTTGAGGTAATGAAAACACAACAACAAAATTACATATAAATGGCAACCGATCAACCAATCAATTACTATTCGAATATTGACTAAATTGATATTAATGATTAGGCTTTTACTAATTCATTGGGAACTATGAATAAGTTGGGAATTAATTGGTTTAGTGTGGCTTATGAAAACTAATTGATTATTGAATCAATTAGGTTTATTATATCAAGGATCTCTACAATCAATTGGACAATCAATTGTGATATTTGAATCTCCCTTATATTCTAATGGATTGTACAATCAATTGTGAAAGTTCAAAACTCTGGCCACTAATCGATTGTGTAATCAATTGTGGTCTTTCAATCCAATCGATTTTGTAATCAATTACGATTTTCCATTCACTCCAATATGGTATACCAATTGATTACACAATCAATTGTGTTTGAAATTTTAAAAATCATGATGTTTTGTTAATGTTGTTATGATTTTCTGGACAAAATTACAATCAACATGCTATGTTATGATTCATTGATAAGAGTTATGATAATTTGTTGATGTCGTTATGATTGTGGAAAAAAAAGTTATACTCAATGTGTTAT